ATACATGAATGTATATTGGGCCAACTTTTTGGTCTCTCATATCTAGACATGCACATTGTGTTATACTACCAAGCCAAATAACATCCAGCTCCCACTCTGGAAGTAATGGGTGGAGCTTGACCTTATCCAGTTACACCTATGGAGACTAAAAAAATCCAATGATTAAATGGGTCTACAGGAGCACCCAGAACTAAGAATAAAGCAACTCGCGAACTTTTGTGCTAGGAAACACACACACACACACACACATATAAGTAAGGACGTTATGTGTATTTATAAAGCGTATATATCGTGTATGGCCATACACCCAAAGTGCTTCAAAATCATAAAGGGGGTCTCTCCACACCCTCACCAGTGTGCAGCATCCACTTGGATGATACGATGGCAGCCACATGACAATGGCACCAGTGCGCTCACCACACACTTGCTAAGGAGAGTGGAGAGATAGTGATAGAGCCAATTCGGTGGATGGGGATGATTGGGAGGCCATGATGGGTAAGGACCGATAGAGGGAATTTGGCCAGGACACCGGGGTTACACACCTACACTTTATGAGAAGTGCCATGAGATTTTTAATGACCACAGAGAGTCAGGACCCTGGTGTAACGTCTCATCTGAAAGATGATGCTCATTGACAGTATTGACCTTTATCGTCAATGAGGAAGTACGCCCTATTTTCACAATTATTTTAGAATTTCAGATTCAGCTGCCTATGGGAGAAATAACTAAAATAAGAAACCACAGAAAACAAGTGTTTGCATAGTTATACAGACCAAGTAGAATAATATAATAAGAAAATATCAGTTTGCAACATCAAGCAGAATAATGAGCTGTTTTTAACATCTAAAAATGAATGGAGGTGAATGTGACTGGAAATCTCAAGCCAAAAAGGTTAAAATAGCTGTGCCTGCGCCACTCGTACTTGATGAATAGGGTGAATAGTGTGCCCTTCAATTACTTGAGCATTAGGACTCACACAGATTGCAGGCTGAGAGCCCTCTGCTAGCCTCACTAACACCACTTCCAACAACCTGGTTTACCCTTGAGGTCTTCCATCTAGGTATTGATCTTAAGTATCTTGGGCTGCAGGGTGATAGGGCTGTGGCTATATACTGTAAACACACTGCATGTCTTTGGACGGTAGGGGAAACCTGAGCACATGGGGAAAACCCTCACAAACACAGTGAAGATGAATATGATTTTTAAAAAGTGAATATAAATATGATGGAAAAAGATTGTGAAATATTACAAATTTTTATCATTGACCTCACAGCATGTTCTCCCTGTGCCGGCGTGGGTTTCCCCCACAAGTCCAAAGAAATGCAGAATAGGTGAATTGGGTGAGCCAAGTTATCTGTAGTGTATGTGTGTGAATGATAGAGTATGGAAGTTTTTCCACCGGGTCTAGCAGGGAATTGGACCAGCGTTCTTCTTGCTTTGAGGTGCCTGTGCTAACAACTGACCATAAAAAAAAATAATAAACTATATTAATCATTAAAGCCTTGAAAAGATTCTTCTACTTTAAATTCTGCATGTTGGTGTAGTGGCACTTTTAACTATGAGGAACTAGGAATCATTAACTATGAGGCAGTGCTCGCCATGGCTTAAATCAAGCTTCACTCACTTTTACTACATGAATATTATACAGACACTTATTACAGAGCCATAAGATCTCATAATGTTCCAAAGTGATGCTAATTATGACATGCTTGTTAGGGAGGTTCGGGGTGATCAACTAGAACTTCCAAGGTTTTTATGGGCAATATTCAACTGTTTTTTTTTTTTTTGTTTGTTTGTTTTTCAAAGGAATAAAAATTTATGCAGTCATGCACATGTTTTGACATAATATGATGGTGATTTAATGCTATTCAAAAGTTGCAGGCACTTTTACTAATATCTAAACGCTTTTTTGATGCAAAATTAATTAAAATTTGTCAATTAAGAAACTTGAATAGGCCTAGGCTACTATAATAAAGAAAAAATAAATAAATAAATAAATAAATAATCTGCTAAATACTCTTGACACATGAAAGTGTAAAGCCTGCAGCTCACATCGAATGTGGAAAGTTTTTGAGTATCATATTTAACAAATTGTTTACTATGAATTTTTATATATTTTTTCTCACATGGATAATTGAATATTAATCGGATGATGTCATTACGCTGCTGTGCCGTCAGCCAATCGTTGCATCGCGGATCATGATTTTGAGGATTGATAGATGCCCTTCACCACACACACACACAAATCTCAGATCAGTTCATGCAGACATTTTAATCTGATTTGCAAACTTGTTTTAAGAACCAAATTAGCCCGAGATCAGTTATCAAGAGGAAAATATTCAGGATCTTTCAAATCATCTTAGATCATTTAATCGAGGTACAAAGAACGGACCCCTGGTGCAACCCACATAATGACATTAAGTCATTTGATCTCCAACTTGCTAATTAGAAAAAGTATTTCTTCACCATCTGTACAAAATCAATAATGAAAATTGTAACCAACATAGTTTAAATGACATTTTACCAAGAGGAATGTTTCTATTGTAGAAGACCTCCAAAATAAGGAAGTTTTAAAAAACACTTACTGCACATACAAATAGATCATTTAGATGCATGCTCAAGCCTCACACTCGGCTCCAGCAAGTCTTTAAAATGTAATCAAATGCATCCAAATTTATATTGTACATAAACATGTTGTTTGGCATATTAAGAAGCCATATGAATTTACTAATTAGGCAAAGCAGTGGTGCAGTAGGTAGTGCTGTCGCCTCACAGCAAGAATGTCACTGGGTCGCTGGTTCGAGCCTTGGCTCAGTTGGCATTTCTGTGTGGAGTTTGCATGTTCTCCCTGCGTTCGCGTGGGTTTCCTCCATGTTTTCCAGAGATGGGTTGTGGCTAGAAGTTGGCGGTTCATTCCGCTGTGGCGACCCCAGATTAATAAAGGGACTAGGCCGACAAGAAAATGAATGAATGAATGAATAAATAATAACAATTAATATATTTTTTCACCTCCAAAATTACAAAAAAAGAGATATGTATGTCTAAAAACATTGAGTCATGCCTTTTTTTTGTGAAGCCATTTCACCCAACGCATATAATGTACATACACTCACCAGCCACATTATTAGGTATACATATTAATCATTTTTTAATCACCCAATCATATAGCACCAACTCAATGCATTTAGGCATGTAGACATGATCAAATGATCTGCTGCAGTTCAAACTGAGCATCAGAATGGGGAAGAAAGGGGATTTAGGTGACTTTGAACATGGCATGGTTGATGGTTCTAGACGGGTTGGTTTGAGTATTTCAGAAACTGCTGATCTACTGGAATTTTCACGCACAACCATCTCTAGGGTTTACAGAGAATGGTCAGAAAAAGAGAAAATATCCAGCGAGCGGCAGTTCAGGACGCAAATGCCTTGTTGATGCCAGAGGTCCGAGGAGAATGGCCAGACTGGCTTCAGCTGATAGAAAGGCAACAGTAACATAAATAACCACTCGTTACAACTGAGGTATGCAGAAGAGCATCTCTGAACACACAACACGTCCAACCTTGAGTCGAATGGGCTACAGCAGCAGAAGACCACACTGGGTGCCACTCTTGTAAGCTAAGAACAGGAAACTGGGGCTACAATTTGCACAGGCTCACCAAAATTAGACAATAGAAGACATTAAGACATTCGAATGGTCAGAATTTGGCATCAGTAACATGAAAGCGTGGATCCATTCTGCCTTTTATCACTGGTTCAGGCTGGTGGTTGTGACGGTGGTGTAATGGTGTGGGGGATATTTTCTTAACACACTTTGGGTCCATAAGTACCAATTGAGCATTGTGTCAACGTCACCGCATACTTGAATATTGTTTCTGACCATATGCCATCTTCCATCTTCTGACGGCTACTTCCAGCAGGATAACGTGCCAGTCACCAGATCTCAATTTAATACCACACCTTTGGGATGTTGTGTAAAGAGAGATTTGCATCATGGATGTGCAGCCGACGAATTTGTGTATTACTTCACCCACATACAGTAACAATCAGAAGAGACTCTACAGTTTGACAAATGTTTCTGCTGTTGGACAACATAATGTACTTTTGAGGCTTTTTTTTTGTTGTTGTCGAGAATGGAGTTGTTTAGATTGCAATGCACTGCATTAATTTTTGCACTGGCACAATTTAAATACACTCTCTCAAATCTTTCTAAATTATTTTCATGATTTGTAATTGATTGATTGTTTGACACACATTCATTCATTCATTTGCTTTTCGGCTTAGTGCCTTTATTATTCAGGGGTCGCCACAGCGGAATGAACCGTCAACTTATCCAGAATATGTTTTACGCAGCGAATGCCCTTCCAGCCGCAAACCAACACTGGGAAATACCCATACACCTCTCTTTCACACACATACACTACAGCCAATTTAGTTTTTTTAATTCACCTACAGCACATGTCGTCAGAGTGTGGGGAAAACAGGAGCACACAGAGGAAACCCACGCGAACATGGGGAGAACAGGCAAGTTCCACACAGAAACGCCAACTGATCCAGCCAGGAATTCTTTGGCACTTTAATATTCATTTATGCAATTGCAATGCCTTGATTTTAGTAAGGTTAGTACGCAGTCATAGCCATAAACGTAATGGTACTAATAATTGGCCATACTAATTTTTGGCTTTGTTTTCCTCTTTTTTTGGTTTTGGCCAAAAATTTTCATTTCGGTGCATCCCTAATATACATATATAAATATATATTTATTCATAATTTATTTTAAGAAATGAATCCAGATTCATATTTATAGAATATTCTGAATAAAGATAGACAAGAAAAAGTGTCTGACATGACAAACACAGTCAGTTTGTTTGTACATTCATCCTGTACTGATTAATGCACCAAATAAAAAAAAAAACTAAATGTATCCCTCAACTAATAAACAGATTATAGAGAAAAAAACAAAACCATCAGCAAAATATATTTTATAAAGTGTGAATACATACCCAGTTACTGAGATGACAGCCAATCCAACAACAAAAATAATGTTTTGTAGTTTAATTTTCTTTTTCATTTTCATCACTTTTACGACTGGTAATTTCAAGTAGAAAAAGCAAAAATGGAAGATGTTTTAACAAATGTACAGCTAAACTAAATTTAATATATCATAACTTTGCTACAGTTTAATAATGGTCCTAGTATGTATAGTGACTCTAAAAAGACTGGTGTACAGATAATAAAATGTCACTTTATATAGTGTAAAAACTGGTGTCTTAGTCTGAAACGTCTGCAGGGCAGAGGCACCTTGTCATATAACACTCATGCCACACCCATGGATGCCTTAACGATAAAAAAAAATAAAAAAATATATATATATTAAATTAGTTTACTTCACTCTAAGTAAAAGTTTATTGCATTAGGTTCAGTGAAATCAAAATGTAATGAACTACATGAACCCACAGTCTTTTAGCTTTTTGTAGAGCTTTAAAATGTTAAAATACAGTAAAATTTTTTATTTGATCTAATCTATTTGATTTATTAAAATGTGAACTCCATTTAGCATTTAATGTTTATCGCTAAACTTAAAATGACAGTTTCTTAATGCTTTAGTTCCAAAGTGTAACAGTGTTCAGCACAGTCATTGTGATACAACTACTCCACCCACCATTACGCCCGTGATTATAATGCGCTTATTATATCAGTTTCCTTAGGTTGTACATTTCAATACAACCTTTAGCAGAAAAAGAGAGAAAAATTATACCAAGACACACTGCGTCTTTGAGTGTATGTGTACGTGTGTGTGCACGCATGCCATCTCACAGATACTCAGTTGATAGCCTCCTGCCAAGCTGCCTCAGAAGGATTTAGTTAGATGTCCAGCTGCTTCTGGCAAGTTTTAGTATGCTGAAATACAGTGAACATCACTAAACCACAGAGTACAGTTCTAATATAACGCACATTAATCATCCTTTAAATATAACAAAAAATTTGTTAAATAATAACAAAAAATAACAAAAAATAATGCTTGAGGCTCAGGTTTGCGCTCATATTGAGGTTGTTCATGAGTGTAACCAAAATACCATGCATATGGCCTATCACACCTACAAAATGACCCAAAATCTCAGCTTCCCAGTGGTTATAAAACTTAAGTCACACTAGAAACAGTTACACACACACACACCAAAACAATTGGCAGAAACGAGACCCTAACACTATGCCATTCACAATGAATTACCCCAAGGGGCAATAGCGCTGCTTTTGCTTCCTAGGAAACCAAATCCTTCCTCGATACAAACCCCCCCCCCCCCCAAAAAAAACCCTGGAGGATTATCAGTTTCATTGTTCAAACACAGCCTGAGTTTCAACACTTAATTCAGCCCATATACTACATGGAATTATGGTCCAAGACTGGCCCAAAAGTCAACAAAGAACAAAGGCTAAAGGTCAGCCATAGCTTAACACAAATCAGCCATAACTGGCCAATAACAGAGCCGAAATCTACAGCTGTCAGCCAGACATTTTGTTATTTATATATACAGTTGAAGTCAGAATTATTATCCCCCCCTAAATTATTAGCGCCCCTGTTTATTTTTTTTCCCCAATTTCTGTTTAATGGAGGGAAGATTGTATCAGCACATTTCTAAGCATAATAGTTTTAAAAACCTATTTCTAATAACTGATTTATTTTATCTTTGCCATGATGACAGTAAATAATATTTTACTTGATATTTTTCAAGACACTTCTATACAGTTTAAAGTGACATTAAAGGCTTAACTAGGTTAATTAGGTTAACTAGGCAGGTTAGGATAATTAGGCAAGTTATTCTATAACGATGGTTTGTTCTGTAGACTATCGAAAAAAAAAAAAGCTTTTTGTCCCAAAAATAGTTTTTAAAAAATTCAAAACTGCTTTTATTCTAGCCAAAATAAAACAAACAACACTTTTCAAGAAAGAAAAATATTATCAGACATACTGTGAAAATTTCCTTGCTCTGTCAAACATCATTTGGGAAATATTTAAAAAAGAAAAAAAAATCAAAAGGGGGCTAATAATTCTGACTTCAACTGTATAAATATATATATATATATATATATATATATATATATATATATATATATATATATATATATAGTACTGAATATTACCTTTGTGTTTAGGATTTTAAGAGCTTTTTTACAGATGAATGATTAAGATTTGCTATTAAAATTTAGATTATTGAGTATTTTTAAAGATAATTTAACTCAGTTGAATTGAGTGATTGAGCTTACGGGAAGGTTACCCATTTTCTTATATCAGGCTAACTTGCTATGGGGAAGGAATGTGTCAACATTTAATTTGGTAATTGTTTGGTATTGAAGGATACAGTAAAATTCCAGTGGTGTTATTTTCTGTATTTGGATGTTCTCGTCTTTGCCAGTTTATCACTTTGAGAACCACGTGGTCTACTGTGGTGACAATTGCTTTCTTGGATTTGTCTCTTTGCCATTTCTAACTGCCTTTACTTGTATTTCTCATACAATCTAATAAACCTTACTCTAGCCTATAAAAGAGTAGATGACACACATGACATCCAATTAAAGTCAGAATTATTAGTCTCCCTGAATTATTAGCCCATTTGTTTATTTTTTCCCCAATTTCTGTTAACGGAGAGAAGATTTTTTCAACACGTCTAAACATACTAGTTTTAATAACTCATTTCTAATAACTGATTTATTTATCTATGTCATAATGACAGTAAATAAGATTTGACGATATTTTTAAGACACTTCTATACAGCTTAAAGTGACATTTAAAGGCTTAACTAGGTTAATTAGGCTAGCTAAGCAGGTTAGGGTAATTAGACAAGTTATTGTATATTGATGGTTTGTTCTGTAAACTATCGAAAAAATATAGGCTTAAGGGGCTAATAATTTTGACCTTAAAATGGTTTTTAAAAATTAAAAAACTGCTTTTATTCTAGTCAAAATAAAACAAATAAGACTTTCTCCAGAAGAAAAAAACTATTTCCATACTGTGAAAATGTCCTTGCCCTGTTAAACATAATTTGGGAAATATTTAAAAAAGAAAAATATTAAAAGGGAGGGCTAATAATTCTGAGTTCAACTGTATGAGTATGTTACCCACCTCAGTCTGAAGAGACCCAGACGGGTATGTAGATTGCATGTTTAGGTGTCTGGAGAAAAATAAGAGACACACATGAATATGCTGCTCAGATGATGTTTAATAAACTCTGTATTTAAAGTTTTTTTTGTTTATGTGACAAATTTGTAAACAATAAAAAATGTAAATACACTCAATGTAGTAAACTGCATGCCATTGAATGTCAATGTATGCAAAAACATCACTGTGTCTCTGTGATCCAATGGCATGACAGTAAACTATACATTTCATTAGCTATCTTAATGTTAAAATAGCCAATTATATTGCTTTCTTAAATGTTTCCTTTTTCTACTCATACATTCTGTTCACATAATGTAAGCAAAAACATACAGTAAAATGCACTTTTATCTTTACCCAAAAAGTTTGACCTTTTGTTTTCACATTGATTTCTAACAGTTTGCTTCTAACTCAAATACACTTGTCACCATTTTGGCTTAACTTACATGTACTTCATTATGTACAACCCTAAATCAGAAAAAGTTGGGACAGTATGGTATATGCACATTAAAAACAAAATAGGCTTTCTGAAGAACGTAGAGATTTTGAAGTACAATATGCTACCTTTTTTCCAGGGATGCCCATGCAAATTTCAAAAAAACAATGCAAAACCACATTCTCCACGTATTACAAAGTCCTGGCTGTAGAGGAAAAGGATACAGGTAATTGACTGGCCTGCCTGAAGTCCCGACCTATCTCCATAAGAGAACGTGTGGCGCAATTTGAAGCATAACATTGTGACAATGAAGACCCTGTACTGTTGCCCACCTTAAGACTTGTTTGAAGGAAAAATAGGACAAATTTACGTGTGAAACACTTTGTCACTTGGTGTCTTCAGTACATAAAGTCTTTTATGTGATGTCAAAAAGAATGGTAACATTACAAAATGGTAAATGCTTTACTGTTCCAATTTTTTCAAATATGTTGCAAGAACCAAAATTGTAATACATGTTTATTTTTATTTTTTTAAATCATGAGGAACAAATTATGTTTCGAACAAATAATGTTTGTTGTATTGTCTCCAATGAATTCAAAGTAAATTTAGAAATCACTACTTTGTTATTATAATAAAATGAAGTGTATACAGTCTCCATACAGTTAAAAGCTTTTATATGTTTGGACGAACTTCAGCATAGTTTTTGAGGACTTGAGAGAATCTAATGATTTTGATCTCTTGTGGTTTCATTTTTTGGTCATCCCAAGAATATTCGGGTGAAAGCAGTTTACTGGGTTTGTTATAAAGGAAGTACTTGTTCAAATGGGACTCCTCCTGCCATGCTGCCTCAATGGATTTAGCTGCATCAATGTCCAGCTGCTCTCGACAGGTTTTAGCGAGCTGATATACGCACTTCACTGAACCACCAAGCACAGCTCCACCATAATAATAATCACCCTCAGAATAAGGGATAAACGCTTGAGACTCAGGCCTTCTCTCATATGGAAATAGCACACATGGAGAATTATAATGCCATGCATGTATCACACCTATAAGATCACCTAAAGTCTCTGCTCCCCAGCGGCCGTAGAACTTTGTATCCACATCAAGGCTAAAAAGATAGTCAGCATCATTGACCAGTCCACTCTCAATCAGCATCTCCAGCCTTTTCATCCTGCCTAAACTCATCTCCTGCCATCTGCTTGAACTATTGACTGTCATCACCGTCAGTTTACGTTCTCCACCCAGTTTCACATCAGGAACCTGCTCTGGATGATCGGTGAAGACATAATAGTGCACACGAAATCCAACAAAGAAATTTTGCTCTGCAGACTCCAGGAAATCTTGAAGAAACACTGTATACCTGGAATATTAAGGAATGTGATAAATAATAAATGAAATGGCAGTTCAATTTTCCAAAACATTATAGATGATAGTCTTAAGAATACATTATAAAAAAACACATTTAATTTATCTACTTAATAAACTACAATACCAGGCATTAAAGATGAGATAACACAAGATAAAAGAAGGTATTTGTTAGGGACGTAAATCAATAATGCCTATGGCTTTATGTTCCTCATAGTCTACATAAAAAATAACAGATATTTTTCTAAAAAAAAAAAAGTCAATAACAACAAAAAGCCTCAGAATTAAACTAGGTTTAAAGTATACATAGCTTTCCTTGGCAATCCAGATTTCAACACAGTATTAAAACAAGCTGAGTAAATTATGGCAAAAATATAATACAAAGCTGAATAATTTCAGGGAAGATGAACAAACTCACTTGCCAAGAGCGAAGACTGTAGTCGCTACAGTGATGTTTTGTTGTTTGTAGATTGAATCAATTAGTTTGGGATCAAAAGTTCCTTCCCATACTATTGGAGCTAACCATGATGTCAGGTCAGCTTGAACATCTGCTCTGTTTAAAAAAGAATGATCACATACATATGCCTGAAATGCTAATTAATTGCAAACATTACACAACAAGTTGTCTTTTACTTAAAACATATACAGTGTATAAAATCGTATTTAAAACTATGTTCTTTGCAGAATTTGGGTGGGTATTATGGATTGAATTTGGGTGCATTACATTTGCCATGCCAATACCATGTATGATACACCAGGCACCCCATTCCCCTTCCATTACATTCTCTCCCATAGCCTCATGGGATGAAAAAGTTTTTCCTGGTTGCTGTACATGAAAAAGAACGTTCGAGGTTACTAAAGTAACCCTTCGTTCCCCGAGGAGGGGAACGGAAGCACTATAAGTGGATTTGATTTGTAAAATCCACGCATTGGGAGGTTCGGTTCAGAAGCTACTCGTCTGAAAGAGTATTGAACGGGCCAATTAAGAATGAATTGGCAGCGCAAGCCTGCGCAGGTGAGCGGCATAAGCAATCAACTGAGTATATAAGCTCACCTGGCGCCAGCAGACGCTATCCTTTTTAAGCTGAAGAGACGTTCAACAGCTAAGGGACAGTCATTATGGCGACGGAGTATAGTGCTTCCGTTCCCCTCCTCGGGGAACGAAGGGTTACTTTAGTAACCTCGAACGTTCCCCTTCGGGGGGAACTTCAGCACTATAAGTGGATTTGATTTGTAAAATCCACGCATTGGGAGCCCATTGAAAGCGCCATAATGACTGCACCTTACCAACACCCCCGATGAGGAGATAGTCAAGCAAGCGTGACGCACCCGCATCATGGGGGGCGCGGTCCTCCAACGTGTCCCTGGCCCTAATTTATCCTACTTCAACAGAAGTTTTACGGATTTATATATATTTTTGGGAAGTCGTGAGCATCTAGATAATTCTAGGAAAATACGACAGTACGTTGGGAAGCGTGCAATCCCGATAGGGAGGACGCTGCGGAGGCCATCCGTTACCCAAGGGGGGATAGATGGCAGAATTTACATATGGACTAGCCCTAAAAAGGGGGAGTACGCATAGCAAAAGAGTGGTTAGCGGGGAGGGAAGACACGGGTCCGCCCAGGGGGGGGGACTTAACCGTGGCTGAATAAGCATATGGGATCGCCTAGTGGGGACCACGCATAGCAGGCACCTTTACCCAAAACGCGGGCTGACCAGCGGGCAGACCTACAACGTAGTGGGCCAGCAAGTGACTCCTCCGCTGAGTCAGTGCTGGGGGCCACGGAGGAATCTGCAGGGCTCACCTGACGGGGAACTTTACTGACAGATAAAAAGGCGCACGTATCTCCATGTTAGGGAAAATGGCGCAGCAAGCGTGTTTCAACACCCTACCGAATTGTTTCCTCAATCACCAAGGGTTACCTAATACCCTTGAGGAAACCGGCTCCACTCGCAGATTGTAAAACCTTGCAAATGTGTTGGGTGTCACCCAGCCCGCAGCTCTACAGAAGTCTGTTAGAGGGGCGCCGCGTGCGCGCGCTCGAGAGGATGCGAAACTCCGAGTGGAGTGCGCACGCGCTCTCGGGGGACGCGGCTTATCTCGGCTCTGATAGTGAAAGAAAGGCATCCACAATCTAGTGGGAACTTATTTCGGTACGGCACTTCCCTGCTGCCGACCGTTATAACAGACGAAGAGCTGCTCAGATGATCTAAACTCTGAGTGCGGTCCGGATAATACGCAAAACGCGAACTGGACAATAAAGAAGGGCTGGGTCTGCCTCCTCCGAGGGCAGCGCTTGCAGGCTCACTACCTCGTATTAAAACGGAGTGGTAGGAACCTTGGGCACATATCGCGGGCGGGGTCTCAGGACGTGAGAGAAGCCAGCCCAATTACAGGCACGAGTCACTGACCGAAAAATGCCTCCGGGTCCCCAACCCTCTAATCGATATCAACGCGACCAGCAGAGCTGTCTTCAGGGACAGAAAGATACTGAGTCGAGGATCGAAGGGATCTGACGCGGCTTGTGTAGCGAGGGCGAGATCCTAAGAGGGCATGAGAGGGGGCGGGATGGATTAATTCGCTTAACGCCCCTGAGGAACCGGATGATGAGGTTATGCGTTCCCACGGTGCTGCCAGCCACCGCGTTATGAGAGCGGAGATGGCAGCCACGTAACCTTGAGTGTGGAGGGCGACAGCCTGCTCTCCAGCTTCTCTCGGCGTAAAGAAAGCACAACGCTGATCTGGCAAATTACGGGGGTCTTCTCAGCGAGAGACACACCATTCAGTGAATAGACTCCACGTCAGGGCATAGGCGCGCTCGGGGAGGGGGCTCTAGCCCGAGTGACGGTATTAGCCACCGCAATCGGAGGTTACCTAAGTCTTCCTCGCGTCTAAAATCTCTTCAAAGATCGGCGAGGGTGCCAGGTGGTGCCCTGTCCCTGAGAGAGTAGGTGCTCTCTCGAAGGGACTGCCAGGGGAGGGCTATCGCGAGGGAGAGCTCTGACATCCAGGTCCGGTTGAGCCAGAGGGGCGCAACCAGCAACCTGTTCCTCGTCCTCTTCCTGACCTTGCACAGTAACTGCGCGAGCAGGCTCACTGGGGGAAACGCGTATTTGCGCGTGCCCCGAGGCCAGCTGTAAGCCAGTGCATCCGTGCCGAGAGCACTCGGTCAGGGAAAGAACAACTAGCAATGAGCGATCTCGGGGGAAGCAACAGATCGATCTGGGCTTCCCCGAATCGCGCCCATATCAGCTGAACAGACTCAGGGTGGAGTCTCCATTCTCCAGGACGCAAGGCTGCCGTGAGAGCGCATCGGCTGCACGGTTGAGCTTGCCTTAATATGAATGGTGTGCAGCGATTTCAGCCGCGGATGACTCCAGAGGAGCAGACGGCGGGCGAGCTGAGACATGCGGCGAGAGCGCATACCCCCTATACGGCTGATATACGCCACCGCCGCCGTACTGTCCGTCCTGACCAGCACGTGTTGCCGCTCCAGCACCGGAAAAAAACGGTGGAGAGCGAGGAACACTGCCAACAGCTCCAGGCGATATGCCAATGCAACTGGGTACCTTTCCACAGGTCCGCAGCCGCATGCCCGCAACGCACAGCCCCCCAGCCCGTGTTGGAAGTGTCTGCTGAAACGACAACAAGACTGGACGCCTGTTCTAGAGACACCCAGGCCTGTAGGAACGAGGGGTCGCTCCAAGGGCTGAGGGCGCGGCGACACAGCGCAGTAACAGAGACTCGGTGTGCGCGCGCGTGCCATGCGCGTCTGGGGACTCGATCGTGAAGCCAGTGCTGAAGTGGTCTCATATAGAATAATCCGAGCGGCATGAAGCGGCTGCGAATGCCATATGCCCCAAGAGCCTCTGAAATAGTTTCAGTGGGACCACTATTTTACTGTCGAGCTCTCTCAGACAGTACAGCATCAGCTGAGCGCGCTCTCTGGAGAGGCGCGCTGCCATGGTGACCGAGTCCAGCTCCAGCCTGAGAGAAGAGATCCTCTGCACGGGGGCGAGTTTGCTCTTTTCTCGGTTGACCTGAAACCCCCACAGGTGGAAGTGCCAGAGCACTTTGTCTCTGTGCATAATCAACTGCTCCGAGAGAGGGCAAAAATCAGCCAGTCGTAAAGAAATTGAGTATGCAGATGCCCGCGAGCCGAAGGGGCGCTGAGGCACCCTCCGCGGGCTTGGTGAGGACCCGCGGAGACAGAGAGAGCCCGAAGGGGAGGGCTTTGTATTGCCAAGCTCGACCTTCAAACGCAAACCGCAGAAACTGTCGGTGGCGAGGAAGAGTGGAGACATGGAAATACGCGTCCATCAGGTCTAATGCTGCAGACCAACCCAGAGGACGAACGCACCGGAGGATGCGCTTCTGCGTGAGCATTCTGAACGGCAGCTTGTGCAGGCAGCGGTTCAAAACGCGCAGATCTAGGATTGGCCGTGACCCACCGCTCTTTTTGGGCACGATAAAGCGTGGGCTGTAAAACCCACCCTCCATCTCGGCTGGAGGGAGCGGCTCGATTGCATCCTTCGCCAGGAGGACAGCAATCTCCTCTCGCAAGACAGGGGCGGACAGGGGGCTGACCCTGGTGAATACACACCCGCGACTTGGGGGGCCGTTTCGCGAACTGAATCGCATAGCCGAGTCTGATTGTGCGTATGAGCCACCGCGAAGAGCTGGCCCGCGCTAACCAGGCAGGCAGAGCTCTCGCTAATGGACTCATCGCTACAATCGCTGACGTACCAGCAGTGGGGCAGCGCGGAGTGGGTGTGCTGATCCGGGAAGCTCGCGGGTCCCACGGAAAAGCTGGAGGTGAGATATTTGCTCTCACTCCAAACCCGAGCTCCGGAGGGGAGGCTCGAGGGGTGGGAGAAAGGAGACCGTCCTCCCAGCGCTCGTGAGCCACTGGCGAAACGCACCGAATCTGCAAGCTAGAAAGCATAGCGTCCCAGACTGGCAGATTTCGGGCTGTCACATCTGGGGAAGTGAAAAGTGCCCTTTCATAATGTTTTCATGGCAGTAAAAAGTGCCGTTGGAAATGGGGCCCCGCCCTCCAGCGGGGAAAGAGCAAGTTCCCTCTTCTCCAGATGGCCTGTCCCAGGGGCGCTTCGCGGTCCGTTGCCGGACTTAGCGGCGTTCTGGGCAGGGGGGCTGCCTGCTTCCGAGGTGCCCGACGCGCTCGCTTCGCCTGAGGCGTGTGCGGGGGCGGAGCAGCTCTCGTAGGCGGGCGCCTTCGGCGAGGAGCAGGTATGAATGGCACGGCGGGCGGAGCGGGCTACGGACCGCCGATAAGACATCACCCACCAACTGCTCTCTCACCGCCTTGAATTCCTGGGTGAATTCACAGACAGTGTCGCCGAACCTGGCTGGGGATATGGGGAAGTCAAGAAAGCGGACTTTGTCGACTTTGCGCATATCAGCCAGGGGTGGCGCTCCTGGACCACTAATGTGGACATCGTCCTCCCCAACGCACACGCAGCGGACTCAGTAGTCCGAAGAGCTAAGTCGGCGGCGGTGCGAAGCTCGTAAGCCTGGGTTGGACCCACCCTCGTGCAGCTCGGCCAGCGCCTGCGCTTGGTAGCGCTGGTAGGT